ATATATATATATATATATATATATATATATATATATATATATAAATAAAACTCAGAAGTGACGAGCCTTTATTCCTGTTTTAAATAAGTTAATTGCTTCCTAATGTTGACTGATCAACCTGCTGTGAACAAGTATTTTTTAAATTTCTTTACTCTGCATTATCTCAGTTTACTTAATAATTTATTAAATACAGTACTGCGCATCCCATTCACTTACTATACATGAAATTAAAGTTATACTACAGCTAGTCTACAGGGGGCGCTTGTGTTTAGCTTTAACTTCCCATTTCTGTTTACTTATCAAACGCATATGTGCATGTTCAAAATTATGTTTTGCTAATGGCAAATATGATGTAAGTGGCATAGACATAAAAATAATTCTAAATGTGTAATATATCGTGTATCAGATGTAATAATTTCTTCGCCATTTTTTCCGCACTAATACGTCATTTCATATCAAACGCTGATTGGTTATCGTTTCCGTTGTCAGCCAATCAGAGCCAAGCATCGAATACAAGCGGGAAGTCCGTTCCTGAAAGTTCAAAATGAAGTTAATTTCTTTTAGGAGTATGGAAAACAAAGAAATTATAAAGCTCCCCAGCTACTAAAATAATAATAGTGTGAATACACAAACAACAGATAGTGAATTACCCGATTTAAATATCCTGCTCTCTAAAAAAATGTCTAATTTAGCATACAACTATGGCTAACAGTTAGCATAACAAACTAGATTAGCAGTTAGCATACAGTGGTAAGTCGCTAATGTTTTTCTTTGCCTGCTTTTGGGAGATATGGTAGACAACTGAACTGAAACATCTTGAAAGGATTTATAAACACAGGAGAGCAGCAAGAAATAAATACTCGGAAAAACTGGTAGCTGCTAAAACTCACGACATAATACGGGAGCCTGAGGGTCCAGTTATCAACTGAAAGTCCTGGACGTTGATGACAAGTTTGTTCAAAGGAAGAGCCACCAAGCTAAAACTCCTTTTGGTGAGTGAAAACATTTATCAACCTGAGCAGCTACAATACTACAAAGTGACATGTAAAACAAGTTAGTTTATATAAAACATTTAACACCACTTGAATAAAATTATTCCCATTGATTAATAATTATTCTGTCCACATACACATCAATAATTTTCTCCCCGAGTGCTTTCAATAGCTGGAGGTGGATGGGTTAAATGCAGAGAACCAATTTCGCCATTGTATGGAACATACTATGATGACAACACATATCACATTATTATTATTATTATTATTATTAAAGTTCTATCTTATCGACTAGTTGGATGCGTTGTAATACAGGCACATGAACACTAGGTGGCAGTGTTTACACATGTACTCACTTCCTGCAACATGTTGCGTCTGTATCCAAACTGATGGGAAAAAAGTTGATTTCCTATCGCTTACATTATTTGATAAACACGCATAAAAAAATAGGCCGATAATCCTTTAAAAGTGTCTCATGCTGCTAAGGTAAAACACTGATTTTTTTTGGAAGATATTTTATGATCTATTTTGGGATCTATGAGGATGAGTGGTGGAGCAGAAGTTAGAGGAGGTGCACCTGTGATCGAAAGGTCGGTGATTTGATTCCCTGGACTGACAACATCAAAATGTGGGTGTGGAAGGTGAAGCACCTGCACCTGCCTCCACTCTCATTTGCCCCACTGTAGGCCCTTGAGCAAGGCCCTTAACCCTCATCATCTGCTCCCCAGGGCATCCTAGATGGCAGCTCTCTGCTCCACACAGAGGGCTGTGGTAGCTCGGTGGTCTGTGGTTGCATCAGGAAGGGCATCTGGCAGAACACAATCGCCAAGTCTTGGTGCGAGTTAGCTCGCTGTGGTGACCCCTGAAGAAGGGAGCAGCCGAAAAAACAAACAAAATCAAAATACCTATATTGTAGCTCACAGTTCTGTTGTTTTCACCACTTATTTATGTTGCAGCTGGCATCATTAGACCCCCCCCACACACACACACACAAAACAGATGCTCTAATTCTAAAAAGAGACTAAATAATGTAAATGTCCATTTATCTTTGCTTTTTTTCCCTAATTTAACTAAGAATCAATGAACAGGCCTGGAGTTAAATCTGCTGTGATTAATATTTAACTGAAACCAGGTTAAATATATTACCACAGCACTGTGTTGACGTGCTGTTAAAAATCCCACCTTTTGAAACGTTAATCTGCATACAAAGCTCAACTTGACGTTCACGACCCAAAGCGACCACAGAGCCCATCTCTCCAAGCTGCATGTGTTGAACTATCAGGACCGTTTACAACATCCATCCTCCGACGCCCCTCCGGTTGACATTTACTGTAAGACTGCGATACGTTGGACATTTTATTAATCCCTGTGGGGAAACCGGGCCGCTGCAGCAGCTAATTCTAAAAGGAATTGAACGCAACAAAAACTGTGGAAACAGTGAAACTGATGAAAGTGTCTTTAAGGAGTTTCCTTGCTGACAAGAAGGCTTTTTAAATGTTCATGGCTGGAACATTTTGACGTATTTTTTGAAATATGTTGGTTTAAAAAGACTTTCAACAGCATTCATTTCCCACCTGTCATAGTGACAGGTGGGCAGTAATGTAAGTGCTCGTGTATTCTGTAAGATGTAGTGAAGATAAAGGTCCAATTAGTTCTGGTTGTGACTCATTTTAGGGTTACGGCAAAACTAAGATAAGATAAGATAGAAGAAAACAAATCTACATGTTGGGTAAAGATAAATAAAACCTATTTTAAATATAGATGTTTTCATATAATTGTGGACAAAAAAATACATAAAAAATGGTAAAAATGAGAAAAATTTTATCAAGATATTCATTTAAAACTGAATATTTGCTCAAAAAACACATCATCGGAAGTCTTGAATTAATTTTTGTTAATTGGAATTATAAACCAAGGAAGAAATCAACACAAGTCATTAAATAATATGTTTTTAAAAATGAAAATCATTCTGAACCTGAATTCCTGTTGCTTTAACTTGTCACCATAAATCAGAAAAAAAAACTTTGCGAAAGAGTCAAACTTGGTTTATTAATAAAAACAGAAGAGATTAATGTACATGTAATGTAAATAACGTGTTTTGAAAATTTAAACCTGAAAATAGAAACACCCACAAGTAAGTTAACAGTACAAGATTCCCCGTGTTGCATAACAATTAAATTAGTTGTGCCTCAACTTTTCCTCTCTACATCTGACAAACGATCAGACAGCTCTTCAATCCCACAGATTAAAACAGATTATTCGGCTCTTACATCAGCTGTAAACCGCTATAAAAACATCCAGTTAGTGGTTTTAAATTTTTACTCATCTGTAGTGTCAAATGTCTGAAGTGATCACAGATTCTGGTTCTTTTTTCACAACAGCAAGCTCAAATCGCAGCAGTGGCAGTCTTAGTGGCACATCCGGTGTCAGGTGTCACGCTGCATCCGGCTTCAGTGGCAGCTGCTGCGATTTCATTGGCTGCTGTGGCTGCTGCTGTGACACCTGCCACTAGTTTATGATTTACTGACACCTTCACTGGCAGCTGCCACGCTGCTGTGACACCTGCCACTAGTTTATGATTTACTGACACCTTCACTGGCAGCTGCTACGCTGCTGTGACACCTGCCACTAGTTTATGATTTACTGACACTTTCACTGGCAGCTGCTACGCTGCTGTGACACCTGCCACTAGTTTATAATTTACTGACACCTTCATTGGCAGCTGCTACGCTGCTGTGACACCTGCCACTAGTTTATGATTTACTGACACCTTCACTGGCAGCTGCCACGCTGCTGTGACACCTGCCGCTAGTTTATGATTTACTGACACCTTCACTGGCAGCTGCCACGCTGCTGTGGCACCTGCCGCTAGTTTATGGCAGCCGCCAGGGAATTTAGTGACAGATGACATTGTTTCTCTTTTAGTAACAGATGACACAGCTTCTCTACGTTTAATTATTTTTTACTGCAATTTTTTATTATTTATTATTATTATTATTATTATTTATTAATTATTTTATTTACTGACATCTGCCATGGAATTACTGCCAGCTGACAGAGATTTAGTGACAGATAACATGCTTTCTGTTTTAATGACAGATGACACAGCTTCTCTCAATTTTTTCTTTTTATTAATTTTGTTTAACCTGCCGCAATTTTTTTTATTTTTTTTTTATTTTTTTACCTGTCGCAATTTAATTTTTTAATTTGTTTATTTACTAGCATCTGCCATGGAATTACTGGCAGCTGACAGAGATTTACTGATAGATGACATGATTTCTCGACAGCTTCCCTAGATTGAATATTTTTTTATTTTATTAATATGATTTATTTATTTTACCTGCTGCAAATGTACTGGCAGCTGACACGGCTTCTGTAGATTTAATTAAAAAAATATATTATTTTTTTAACTTGCCGCAAATTCACTGGCAGCTGCCAGTTAACTAGCGGCAGGTGCCACAGCATGTAATAATAATAATAATAAAAATAAATCGAGAGAAGCTGCGCCATCTGTCGCTAAAAGAG